CACACACACACACACACACACACACACACACACACACACACACACCCTTCCAGTCAGCAAAGCATGACACAGAGCAAGGAAGAAGGGAAGGGAAAGTAGCTGACACCAAGAAAAAAAAAAAACACTCTTGCCAGCGTTCTTCAATTAAAATTATATCCCTGCCTGTCCATGGATTACACGCTAATACAAATAAAGTCTTATTAGTCTCAGTCAATTTTATACACTTTGCATGATTAATGTCAGGGTCATGTAGGTCATCCTGCCACCTGCTGTTGTTCCTCTGACTGCTCAGTAGATGGCCCCGATGATCAGTCTACCAGGTGCATTTTTAAGATAAGGACTGATGCAGTATTTGCTCCTTTTCTCCTGGATTTTTTCCTCCAGACGCTAAATTTGAGACCAGCTTGTTGTAAACTGTATCCATTTCACAAATTAACTATCAGAATATTTTGGGAGGGAGGCGATATATTAAATATTATAACAAGTTTTCCATTCTGGTGGTTTTCTCATGAATATTAAAAACATTTTCTCAACAAATGGTCTCATTTCTAAGATTATTTAGGGGTTTCTCAGAGAGGTGAGATTACGTCTAAACTTTTGTGTGCCCAAAAACTCAAACAGCTTGTGAGTCTTCTTCTTCTTTCCACTTCTCCCTTTAGGGGTCGCTACAGTAGATTATCTCACCCTGTCACTAGCATCCCCATCTGCTACAACAGTCCTCTGCATGCCCTCCTTTCTAATCCAGAGAAAATCTTAACATCTTTAAATCTGCCACCTGTCTTTTTGTTAGTCCCACAGTCTTCAAAGCATACATCATAGCACGTCTTCCTACCTTCTTGTAAATCCTCCCTTTCATTCTTTCTTCTATCATGCCACAAATCACACCTGAAGCCCACTCCACCCTACCTGCACTCCTTTCTTCACCTAGAGCATACCTCCACCTAGGCTCTCTTCCACCTGCTCCCTACACCCGTTGTCAAAGGAGACTCCTTCATCTGTCAGCCTGTCCATCACCATCTTAAGTAGGAAGGTCAGTTCCCTGATGTAAATGCCATCCCCACATTTCACTCCTACCTCACACCTCACCGCTGTCTCGCTGTCCTCATACATGTCCTACAGCAGCCTCGCATACTTCTCTGCCACTCCTGACTTCCTCTTGCAGTCCCACAGTTCCGCTCTAAGCTCCCTGTCATGTGCTTTCTTTAGATCCACAAAGACACCGGTCCTTGTACTTGTATACTTCTCCATAAACACTGTGAAAGTAAATATGGCATTTATAGTTTTTGTTCTGCATTTGTGTGCGTTCTGTGTTAATTTTTCACTACACCGTAACATCCTGCATTTCTGTAGAAACAGAGCAATCGTGGCTAGATGTAGAGGCAGTGTGTTTCACACATTTAAAATCCTATAAATCATAGAAAACTGAAACCAGTAAATATGACATTTTCCCAATGCCCACAAATGCTGTAGATAGTGAGAGAGTAATTCCATGAGGTTTGATGGCTGAATAATACCAAGTAATATGCGGTCAGGCTTACTAAAACCAGAGGTAATATGTATGTATAATCTTAAATATGTATACAATTAGTCAGTTTAAGTTATTATGTAAATATATTTTCACCCGTGCAGTACTGTGAAAAATTAAATACGTCCTTACTACTGGAATTAAGTGAGTAAGAAGTAATTTAATTATTTCAATTTATTTATATAGCACCAAATCACACAAACAGTTGGCGACAGCGGGAAGAATCTAACTATCTATCTGCTATATCAAAAAGAAAAGTTTTAAGACTAATCTTAAACATAGAGAGGGGTCTGCCTCCTGAATACAAACTGGGAGCTGGCTCCACAGAAGAGGGCAGGAAGCTGAAGGTTCTGCATCCCATTCTACTTTTAAAGTGAAGTAGTCAGGCACTGCTAATCAAATGCAAGTATGACCGGCTCTATAAAAGCAGAGGTTTAGAGCATTCAGATGTTGGTTAACACAATGCCATAATCTTCCCAAGATTGGAAATTCCAGCAAATTCACTCCAAAAACTTGCAACAATGCAAAACTGCTGAAAACCCAAAAGCTCTCAGACTCTACAGGCCTCAGTTAGCATGTTAAATTTTAAAGGTCATGACCTTTAGAAGAAGAATAAACAAGTTTGTCTTGTTTGGAAGGACTATCAGGAGAAAGCCTCTTTGCTCTAAAAGAACATGGAAGCACCCATTATTGTGATGACTGGGCCGTGCAATAAAACAATGATCCCAAGCATAGCAGCAAATCTACAACAGAATGGCAGAAAAACAAAACCATCAAGATATTGCAATGTCCCAGAGAAATTTCAGACCTTAAATTGATGTCCATGATTAAACAGATGGACACAAGCCGTCTTCTTTGCAACCAACGCTGTAAAGAAGAGTGAACCACAATTCCTCCACAGTGATGTGAGATACTGATAAAGTCATACAGAAAACCATTACTACAACACAGAACCAGTAGCTTGTAGAAAACAAACTTTCCTTTCACACATAAGTATCAGGATGTGTTTCATTTAGATGTGTGAAAAATATCTAATCTGTAGTTTTCTGCTGTGACCATGGTTTCGTCCATATTTTTTGCTTTTTCTGCATTCTGACAATCCCTAAATGTAGTGAATCATAATTTGTTTGATTAAAAACTGACTAAAATGGAGAATTTCCCCACAAATTGAGCACATAACAAAATAAAGAAGCCACATACTGGTAGTAAACATTTGCTATTTTGGCAATTGTGAAATTAGGGAAGCTCTGTGAAGAGCTTTTTTTGTCTTTCAGAATCCTACTGGTTCTGACATCGAGCGGAGTTTTGATGACAGAAGGAAAAACTGCATTACACCGAAACCAATGAGACAGAAAGAGAAACAGAAATATTTGACAGCATGTGATTACATAAATACATAATTTGTCAAATGACTGTCAATAAACACCTGATGCTGCATTAAACATGTGCTGGAGCTGGTTTAGGACAGTGGTAACAGAAACGAGTGTTTGATTTTCATTATGAAAAGCATCGCATGTCACACCGCTCTGCCTTAAACGAGACACACATCTCAAAGTTTTCCATGATGTTTCTCTTTTTTAGGTACGAAGTATAATAAGAATTCTGGACTAAGTGTACTCAAGATAAAAAATCAACTCGTACAAGACAACAAAAAGGGAAGGCAATGTCAGTTCCTGTGACTTTACCACACGTTTTTTGCTCTTTTTAAAACTAATATCATCAGTGCATGTTGTGCGTCATCAGACTGACATAGTGTGACAAATAAAATCCCAGGATTTGTAGAACTCAAAGTGTTCCTACAAGTGTGTAGGTCCAAATTTATCCATTTACCTTGACGAAATTTCCAAATGATTAAAATTTGAAAAGAATCCAAGATTTTTTTTTAAAATCTGTGACGCAAACTTGATTCTCAGAAGAAGGGAGCCTGACTGCTCGTTAGCAGGGGAAGTTTGATTGTAAACGTCGATGTGGGTGGGTAAGAACTGTTACCACGCTCTTGGTAAAAATGAGGAAACCTCAGTGTTAGATTGCAGATGCAGAACTAACAAACAACAACTGTGGATTATTTTACTCTGGGGATTCGTCTGCTTACTAGAATCTGTTTCTGATCTACAGCTGACCTGCTCATCTGTTACAGAAGATGTCTCAAAGGAATTTGCTCCAAACCTCCATCAGAGCTCTGTTTCTACTTCTTCTTTGTAGCCTGGTTGTTGGCGAGATCGGCAAGGACTTCTCCCACTGCCCTAATTTCTTCTATAATAAAACTCCCCCACAGGGTGTCAGCGCACCAGGATATCAGCCAATATGCCAGCGCTATAGAAACCAGTACCACTTTGCCAGCCTGTATGATCGTCAGCGTCGAGTGCCTTTGTTCTCTGCGTACAGACTGAGTCCTGCTGATGGCAAACGACCCAAATCCGTTTGGATGTATGAACCGCAGGTAAGAAGGAGCAGACACTTATTTTATAGTGTTGCGTTCATTGGTTTTTTTTTCCGGTGAAAAATAGAGATTATACGTAAAAAACACATGTATGAAAAACACAGTCACATATATGTTTTCTTTTGTGAACCCATGAAGAAAGAGACATTTGCATCTTCAAATGAGGTCATCATGTTTAAAGCTATGTGACTGTTTAACTCAAACAGAAGCAGCAAACTCTTTTAAAGTTTCTAAACATGGTCATGTCCTTTTTCCTCCGTCTGTCAGTTGGCATTTTCCGGTGCCAGCCCAGATATGAAGCATTTTGAAACCCCTGTCGACCAGAATGTGATTGAAAGCCAGGCGGTGCTTGATGACTACAGGAACTCAAGCTTTACCAAGGGTCATCTCAATCCCAGCTTGCACCAGAAGACGCTCGACAACCGGAAAGCCACCTTTACCCTGACAAACATTGTCCCCCAAAAAGAGGGCTCCAACTCTGGACCCTGGAACAAACTGGAGAATGACGTGTTGAGAGATTTCAAGACGTTCTGCAACGGGACCATGTACGTGATCACCGGGGCCATGCCATACAAATCTGGGGACCACTGGATTAATAACAGGGTGTCTGTTCCTGAATACATGTGGTCTGCCTACTGCTGCCCATCATTCAAATCTGATCTCCCTAATAATGTGAAGCAGTTTTTCCCCACGTGTGCTGCAGTTGGAAGAAACGACCCGAACAGCGGCGAGGAGATTGTGCCGGTTAATAAGAATGCGAAGCCCAGCGTGCGGGGCTATGATGTGAGGAGGATGCCATTAGAGAACCTGGAGGGTATCCTGGCAAAAAGACTGGCCATGCCCATCAGTCTGTTTGATAACCGCTGTCAGGCATAAAAGCCTTTAGCTTGACCGGACTCTGATAAACTCGCTGCAGTTTTAATTATCGAGCTTCTGCTTGATTATCGAGGACATGATGGACTGAAATTGTTTTTTCCCCCTGATTGACTTTGTAAAAATGTAATTTCCCCTCCTGCTAAGGTCATTTCACTCACATTTAATAGCATTATAATTTTCCAATTAATCAAGACTGAAGTGTGTGATTTTAATGTTTATTCTCCAATAGATTCAAAAGCCAAACACAGAGAGTAGCAAGCGCTCAGTTCTTTTAAATAAAACTGCACTGGTTTTAACATGAGTCAGTTATTGATTACATATTACAAATGTACATTTGAGCTGGAACACTATCAATAAATACTAAGTCTATACATATGTCTGATTTCATTTTTTCCTCTTTACAAAAATGACTTAGTGAATTTCAGCATTAAATCATAGAAAACATTTTAGGGGCAGACAAGCTTTCTGGGTCACTTTTTTTCAGAGGTTTGCCACTGACGTTACCCAGTTCAACATTTCATGTTCAGAAAATTTGGTTCCCACAAGAGAGCGAGTTTCAGTGACACAAAGAACACGGTTCTCAGGCAAACCAGTGTTTACTGAGACAAGAAGAAAAACGAAGATCAAAGCAAATGGATATGGTTTAAATAGTGGTTACCCATAGATAGCATCACAGCATTTGTGCTTGGTGTGTTATTTCCAATCTTTCCAATCTCAAGAAGCCCTAATTTTTATAGAAAACTTGATATAAAGCTGGAGACAGATTCTCTGAAGGAAAATGCTGCAACACCACAAGCGCCCCTTCTTTCTTCTGGCCATTTCTTAATTTATCAGCAAGCAGGAACTGTACTGTCACTTAGTAAAAAGCTACAGGAAGTGAATTTATTATCTAACAACATTTATTTTCTAATAAATGAGGTCGTACTCTGGTTCAGATGGGCCGATGATGAAACTTAAATGTCTGAACCGCAAATAAGATGTGATTGGGTTCTTTTTTACTTGTTGTCTTTCCTGTTCCTGCAGAAAATGGCTCGCTGGAGCTGATCTGGTAGTCGTTCCACATTCATGCACCACTCACCCTTACTCTGCAAACAAACTGACCTTCTGACAGATGGACAGCTTTTTTATGTCTTCTTTAAAAAGAAAAAGACTTAATACTTATAGAGACAGTGAAAACATATCTGGATACAGACTCTTTGTAGGAAAATGCTACAACACCGCAACTCCTGCATGGCTCTTCCAGCCACTGAAAACATGGTGCTAAATGGGATGCACATTTCACGTGTTGCATTGTGAACTGTTGCATTGTGCACCACATCTAGCTATACTCGATGTGCACAATCACGTGGCAAACAGCCAAATGATGAACCACTATTTAAATCATATCCATTTGCTTGGATCTTTGTTTTTCTTCTTGTCTCAGTAAACACTGGTTTGCATGAGATCCGTGCAACACATTTCACAGCCTCAACCCTGACTTTTGGGGGTTTCTTTCTTTATCATTTCCTGATGTTGCAAAAAAATGTACCAGTGGAGCCGTCCTGGTTAGAGCTGCCGCACAACTGAGCTGTTCTGGGTCAGGAGGCCAGAAATGAATCTTTCCAGGGTTCTCTCTCATCCAACTTGACTGGCTGAGCTAACAAACACGGCTTGTTAGCTTAGTTTGTAGTTGTTCTACATTCACGCACCGCTCACCCAGAACCTGCAAACAAACCAAACTGCTGAGTGTCATACAGTTTTATGTCTTTTTTAACTTACTCTAGACTTTAGCCGCTATTTAAAAACTACGAAGACACAGTATCTTATGTCAAATACACAGCGTGCCAGGTTATGTCAAAGTGCTGTTTTCATTGCATAGTGCAAGAAAGCCCTTCAGTCAATCAGAAATATCAGTAAGTGAGATTTCTATCTGTATAACTAGTGCACAAAAGAAACTCTCAACAACAGCCCAACACTTGAATATGTCTAATATGGCAATATTTTTTAATAATTAATGATAATAATAATAATAATAATAATAATAATAAATTTTATAATTATAATATGATATGATATGATGATATAATATGATCATGACTCAGACAACATAAAATAAGTTGACTTTTGTATGAAAGCACTTCTATTAATCAGCCTAATCTATTTTATTACAGTTTAGCTCAGTAAAGTCTCGCCAGTGCACTGTGAATTAGTTTAACCTTAACAGATCTAGTTTTGACTTTTCCTTAAGGTCTGAAAACAGATAAATTCAATAAGACTTCAAATAAAGAGCAGTTTCTTTCTACTTCCGTAAAACGTTTAACTTTCTATTTACTCATAATAACCACAAAGAAGCGACGTAGATAAAAACAGAACAACTCTGGCCATGTAACATGCAACCCTTTCCTTGCATGACTGCAGCCTGCACGCAGGCAGTAATGAACAGCTTTGTCATAAAGATGAAACATTTTTTTTCAGCCAGATTAATATGTGAAGCTCTTCCCAACACACATTTTCTAAAATGTGACAGAAAGCCAAGCAGCGTTTGAGGATAAAAGCAGGTCTATTCAAACTGAAGGCCCTCTCACTCCCATGCTGCACTAGAAAAGCTGCGAGGCCATCGACACCCTGAGAAACATGATTACACTGTGGGTAGAACTCCAGCACTCGGCCCTTGAGTCATCTGGTACGAGGTAAGTTGAAGATCCCGTCAGAACCAGCCTGAAGTGGGCTGGATAGATGAAAAGCAGGGCTGTCGTTAGTGAGCACAGATGGTCTACTTTGCTCTTTCTTCAAATATGAACTTCCTGACTTGGAGATCTTTTCCCCTCGACACACATCATGCTGCTGTGGGAAGAACAGAAATAATCCTGAGAGTGGAGAGGACTTTGCGAATTAGGTTCACCACCTTTCTAATATCAGGACTTAGCTGTAGAGTGGGCGATCATGAGGGAAAACATCAATCTACCCTCACCTACCACTTCACCTTGCTAATAGATTGCCTTTTGCCTTAACTCTTCCTGTCATAGAGTCAACAAGGTGCTGGAAAGTGTTGATCATCTGGGTAAGGAAATCCCAGAAAGTTGATTCTGTTTCTATTCCATGGGAGAAACGCTTCCTCACTTATTCAAGTGGCTTTTTCAGTCTCAGTTGACTAAATAGAAATCATCAGAAACAGAAGTCAGCTGAGACCGAAGACATCACTTGGATGAGTGATGAAATGTTTCTCTCACAGAAACCGCTACATCCAGATGAACAGAATCAACTTTGTGGGGAGATGCTGGAAACACTCCTCAGAGGGTTTGGTCCATATTGACAAGATAGTTCGAGATGGTTGTGTGTGGGAAAATCCAAGTAGATAAACAGCTTCTGAAATACTCAAACAAGCCCACATGACAACAACAACAACCACGCCACGTTTAACCTGTTAGCAGTCGGACGTACCGCCCACGGTACATTGGATGGTTTAGGGGACTAATTGGACTGCTAAGGGGTTAAAGTCACTTAAATCTTTCTTCCCATTTCTGATGCTTGGTTCGAATTTGTTGTCTTGACATGCATGAATGCATCCAGTCAGCTGACTAGACACATGCATTAACAAGTAGCTGAACAGGTGTACCTAATAAAGTGGCTGGCGAGCATCTCCATTTGATAGCCATCATTAACAAGAAGTTCTGAAAAAGCAGCAGCTCTTTGAACAGCAAATTTTTTAGTCCTTGAATGAATGTGTAATGACAATGTTGCCTAGCGATGGCTGAAAATTAAAATTTATGATGAAGGTAGTCACACAAAAAAGCTTTATAGCGTATTATTCACTAACCCGAAACTTTTCCTCATGAATTAAGATGTTTATTTTCTAGCAATGTGACGAAAACACAAACATACAAAATACCAAACTGTCAATTATGTCATCCAAAAAAGAAAACAAGGCCATCAGCTTTAACGTACCGATAAAGAGGTATGAATGAACGATGTATTCATCATTATAAATAAGTCCTGGCTGTGCACGTACATACAAATAATAATACTTCCAGTTAAAATGGCTAGATGGCAGAGACTGACTTTATTTCTCTTTCAACACAAAAACACCAACCAGTCCTTCCTGCCAGCTTTTTAAAATGTGCCTTCATTGTTTACTCGACCAAAGTCTGCCATGTATGTGCTTTGTTATCTTAAAGATAATCACAGGGAAAGACATGAGATTGTAACAGTCACATTCATCAGCTAAATTCTACCACAACCATAAAAAAAACACTGTTCTTTCCCTAAACTGAGTTTCTTGTGAAGCCTCTAAAAACACTGATGGTTCTTCAGTTGCTCCACATCACTAAAGCCCCTTCCACAGTTGGAGCACTGGAGTGTTGCCTTTTCGCTGTTATGTATGAGTTGGTGTCTCTTTAGGTACTCCACACGGCTGAAGCGCTTGCCGCATGCTTCACAGCCGTATGGACGTTCACCTGTGTGAATCCGCTGGTGCCGTTCCAAATTACCAAGGCGACTAAAGCTGCGTCCACAGTGCTGGCAACGGTGCGGCCTCTCACCCGTGTGCACCAGATGATGGCGCTCCAGCGACCGTGAGTGTGTAAAACGCTTCCCACAGATCTCGCAGCAGTGCGGCCGCTCGGCGGCGCAGGCGCACTCGTGGTTCTTCAGAGCCCAGGCGTGGCTGAACGTGTTGCCGCAGTGAGCGCAAGGGAAAAGACTGTCCTCTGCTCCGCTGCTCTGTAAATGGGCGCCACCTAGTGGACACGGGTGCTCCTCCAGCTCGGCTTCCGAAGTGAAGCCTCCTCCACATTGTGGGCAGAAGTGGAGCAGGTCCCCGCCGCCCTCCTCTTCCCCGGCGCTCTCCCAGACGCTCCCCGGAGCAGATAGGTGGGGCGGATGCTCCGACTCTCCGCGCTCCACCACATCCTCTACAGGCATGACCGCAGCTGAGTCGCTCTCTCTTAACTTCTTTGACCAGCCTAACCTCAGCTCCACATCCCCAGCCACTCCCAACCTCTCGCCCTCCTTCACCCTGCCTTGTCCTATCTGGTCCTCTTTGTGCAGAGTGGGTGGCTGAGGCTCCAGCTCTCCATCCTGCTCCATTCCATCGAGACCAATGTACTTAGGGGCCAAGCTGATCTCGGACCCACAAACCACTTCTGAGTCATGTTGAGAAGCCTGCTCGCGGCCTCTTTCGGCCCTTAACGCAGACTCCAGGCCCCTCAGCTCATCCACGGTCATTCCTCCCTCTGATGGTTCTGCAGAGCCCACCTTCCAGTTCTCCTCTTCACTCTCCCCTGGATGAAGAGTCGGGGGACGGTCTGACAGATCTCCTGAGCAGAAACAGAAGGAGGAGGAGAGAGTGAACGAGCTGGTGTGGGCAATCATTTCCGTTTTC